TTACGTTCTCCGCAGCTTTTATAAAACCCGTTGTTTTGTCATAAGATATGAAACAATAGCGGTGCTGTAGAAAAATTCATTGAGAAAAATGTGATTGAAACTAACTGGATTAAAGTATGTCTCTCGATTTCAACCCTTAAAAAACGAAGCATCCAGTAAATACATAATATATTATAAGAATCACGATATGAATAAAACAACATAAATAAATCTCGTTACGATCCTTCACGTAAATGTACACCGTATAAGTTCGCGAATAACAGCGGGGAAAAGGAGGAAACAAAAATACGCGGTTAATATATAGTATGGGTCATTCCGTGCTGTCGGTGTTTCTCAGTTTTCAAGGAGGGTTGTTAATCCTACGTCGTACAACGCTCACTCCCCGCGAGTTTTTCCCCATTGCGTGGGATGAAACACGCAGAAGAGAGAAAAAGAGAGAGAGAGAGAGAGAAGCTGAGCGTGCATACACGTACACGCAGAGTAGGTGCGGACGAGAGCAGGAAAGGATCAAGAACTTCCTCGACAAGCTCGTACCTCAAGTGGCAAGGCGTGTTTTAGAATAATGCATCGCACGGCTCACGGTATCCTCCTCCCCCTCTCCCATCTTTCTCTTGTGCCCTCCCTCAAGTTTTTGATGAGAAACAGAAGTTTCTAGCCGGGAAAGAGTTGTTGTTTCCCGCGCGCCCGAGCTCACCTTCGACTGCCGCTCGTGCTGGTGAGGCCTCCCTCGACTTCCGCCCATCCTCTCCCGGTGTCTGCTTACACGGCTGCCGTTGTCCGATACAAGCTTCCTTACCTTGGGTTAACTACACCACGATCGAGTGTTTTCTCTGGCAGTGATCGGAATTTTATATTTATAGGTTGTACCTCGTGTTTACTCCACGAAGCTCGAGTGGGCGTTTCAATGTTATGTTTTGTAACGAAAAATTATAATACTCGGCTGTTTGCTATGGAAAATATTAAGCGTGTTAATTTTAGTAAATTTAATTTGAAAATTCGTTTGTCAATTATAACCACGTGTATTGGAGATGAGTGTCGATGCTCGAGAGTTTAAGAAAAAAATAATGATAAAATTGAAAGTAAAATTTGTGCATACAAAAATCAAATATACGTAAAAGCAAGAAACTAATCATATTTAAAAAAACAAAAAACAGTTGCTATAGGCATAAGCGTATACTTAACAAACTAAAATAATTACTTGGGTGGGAGCAAGGGATGCGGAAGAGGGTGAGTGGTCGCATCTGGTTGCAAAGAATGAAAAGCCAGTGTTTGATTTATTTTTTTCTGATGATTCGCACTCGAATCGCATTTATTCGTCTTTTTCTTTATGTTCATTTAATATCAATCGTATAATCGGTATATTGTGTTTACAGTGACAAAAAAAGTTCGCGGAACGCAGGCCACGTTCCGTAGGATAAAAATTTGTTGTCCTCCGGCGACTTTTGTCTCTCCGCCTCGTCGTTTAGTGAAGGAAGAAGAGACAGGAGGAGGTAAAAAGCAGAGGAGTCGTCGAGGGCCTCGAGCAAAAGTCGCATCGCGGATTATACACATAATAATACACGTTCAAAGATAGATGAGACTTTCGGTTTCGTCGCTTACACGCCGAAGGTATAAGTAGTGAAAGAAATCTCAGTGTCGTCTATATTTATAATACGTTTACTTATGCTTCATCTACTATATTACAAAAAAAGAAGGTGTGGAAAGAGGGAAAAGGTAGGTTTTTCAGCCACAGAACGGAAACCGAACAGAAAGTGTCTGTTTCTCACGCGTATTTATATTTACGAGGGATGAGGAAAGGCAGATAGAAAAAAAAAAAAATTTTTTTTCTTGATAAAAAAGAAGGAAAAAAATGGAGAACGATGATTTATACATACACAACGAGAGGAGTGAGAAAAAACACGGCTACATGTATATAAATACATAGCACTACACGCGCACTACAGCACACACACACACACACAAACAAACCTGCGGTGGCGCGCGGATTAATATCATCATTATAATTATAATTATTATTATTATTACTGTTACACCGCGAGTAAAAAGCCGCACACGCTCGGGCGCGCCTCCATCTTTGTCTATTACTTGTTACTCATCGCCCTTAATAACTACATAAAATCATAAAATATACAATACACAGTTGGAGCGCGCGCACAATGATGTCAATTTTTCTCTCTTTTTTTTTTTTTTTTCATTTTTTTATCATTACTTTCGCACGGAGATCCACAAAATAAATAATTCTTAATATTTAAGTTAAAATTCACCTTAAGCAATACTGCAGTCGCGCCATTCGTCGTTACTTAATTATTCGCTCGCGACCCATCGTCTTTCATCGACACTATTGTTAGCTAATATATACTTTCGCACACATTTTGCCTCTTATTATTCTGCATTTATTTGTTTCTTTTTTTCTCTGTGTTCACTTAGCTAAGCGCTAATCGTATACAATGTCTAACTAGAATAAAATTACTTATACTCGGTTGTTGAGTCGAGCGTCATGATTTTTATTTTTTTTATTTATTTATTTTTTTTTTTCAATGCTTGCAGAAAAGAAAAACGAGTACTCGTTTACTTTTTTTGTTTGTTGAGGTACTACGTAGTTTACGTTATACACATAAGTATTTTTCGTGCTCAACCCGTTCACTTCGCATACTCTGAGCTTACAGATTGCTTCAATTTTTTTTTTTTTTTCCCCAATTTATTCGACAACGGCACACGTAGTTATTGAAAGAGAGAATCAGAGTGACCGATTGAGTATTTTTTTTTTTTTCGTCTCCATTTCGCGTTTCTCAAAGAAGGCAATCGTTGAATCGAACTGCGCTCAAACTCGTCATACCATCTTTGCAGGTACTGAGCGAATACATCGTTGTCGTACTCTATCATACACAATAATAATAACAAAAATTTTTTCGAACACGAATATATATATATTTATATATTTTTTTATTTAATATATCGATTTGTTCATCCACTCGTTTCTTTTATTTAGATATTTATATATAAATATAGATTTTTTTTTCCAACGATTGCAATTGAAAAAAAAGCGTCTTCACCGAGATATTCACCGGGGTTTAATTGTACAAAAATCATACACCTGTATACTCAGTACTGTAAACAGTAGCTCAATAAAGGCGCTCAATCTCAAATCGAAATCGTATTGAGGTAATATATACGTCATAATGATAATAATGATAATAAAAATAACAAAAATATAACATCAACAGCAGTCGTCGTAGTATTTAATTTTCACGCTTGAAGGAACGCACGTACCGCGAGCATGTACACGTACATATATAACACACACTTGCACTTGTTCGATTGCGTTTGGAGGAAAAAATACAATAATATTAATAATAGTTATAATNTTATGACGATAATGATAATGATAGTAATAATTGTGATAATAATCATGTTGATGATAATATTTATGATAATAATGTAAATTATGATAGTAATGATAATGATACTAATAATAAAGATGATCCTGATGATGACGATGATGAATAAGATGATAATAATAATAATGATAAAGATTATGATGCTTATAATGATAATAACAATGATAATTATAATGACAATGATAATTAAAATCATAATAATAATTTTGATAATAATGACAATGATGACAATAGTTTTAATAATAATGTCGATATTAACAGTAATAATAATAATCATGATGATGACGATAACGATAACAATAATAATAATGCTAATGATGTTTTTCAAAATTACCGAAATAATGATCATGATAACGATGATAATAATAATGTTAGTATTAATATTGATAATTTCTATGACGATAGTAATAACAATAATGTTGACAATAGTAACTATCACAATAATGATTATGATGATAACGATGACAACGGTGACAATAATGGCAATGACAATTATACAAATAATGATAATTTTAACAATAAGAATGATCACAATAATAATGATAGTGATGATAATAATAATGATGAAGAGGATAATGGTGGTGACAATAATAGTTATAATTATAATCATGTAAAAACTTAATGATTACAGGACGGGGAGAAGGAAGAGTAAAAAAAAGGACAGATGAGGGTATGAAGAACAAAATTTGTACAGCAGCACAAGATTCGCACACACGACTATTTCATATATGTATACGTAATATTACCAATCATATTGATGTACAAAGAAATTACTCACACCTTATAATACACGCATATTCTCGATTGCAGCGATACCCATACGGATATTTTTCTCTAAATTTTTCTCTAGCCTACACGAGATTATTACTTTATTACACATTTAATATTCACTTTTTTTTTGTTTTTTTGTTTTGTAGTATTTTAGCACTAGTTTACGTATTTTAGGTTTATATTTCACTAAGTCTCAAGTTGTACGTGCAATACGACTTCCTACACTGAACCCCCTTCTCAGTCGTCTCGATCACTTTTAGAGCACTTGGCTAATGTTAAAAAACGTCCAACGACCCCGCGTCCTCTCTCCCTCTCTCTTATTCTATCAGTTCTCACTCTCTCTATCTCTTTTTCTCGCCTCATTTCAGGATTTACAAAGAAGCGATCAAGCCAAGACAAAATAATAATAGTAATAATAATTCTTATAGCCAAAAAAAAAAAAAAAAACACAACATAACAAGCTTTGGATTGATTTTCGTTTCGGCATCTAGCACTCGATGAGATTCGCAAAATAAAACAAGAACAACAACAATAAAACGTACGAGTTGTCTCGGATGTTGTGCACAGGCGTGACGGTGGTATATGTTGCCGATGTGGTGGTTTTGGCAAAGAAACGAAATCAAGTTCGAAATTTTGCAACTGATCGTCGAGTGTCACGAGCAAAGTTCGGGGAGAGATAGTCCGTGGGGGGATGTGTGGTGTGTTAACTCTGGGGGAGGCAGGCAGACAGGCACTCACCGGCAGCAACATTATTTCGTTCGCCGCGACCGATAAGCGTTCAGAGTCCCGCCGCCATCGCTGCTATAGTTACATCGACAAGTTAACTCACATCCGATTTTTGTTTTTGTTTTTTTTGGGTATTTGGCATTACAGTAACGGCTGGTGCTGACTCTGCCACTCACCTGAAACATAAAGTTAACACTGCTTGTGTCATCACGAACTTACAAATTGAAGAAAATGTTAGAGACAAGTGTGGGTCAATAGGCACGAGACAATGAGGAAGTGATGAAGAAACATTCGGGAAGAGAATGAAAACGAGGTTGGTATAGCTATGACTTGTAAGGTGACAAGAAGAGTGACAACCAAAAAAAAAAAAAAAATTAATTGGAAAAGAGGAAGAAGAACAACCAAGAGTACATTCAAGGTTAGCAATGTTAGCAAGCCAAGGTAGGAGTAAGAAAAAAAAAAAAGACACCAAGTATAAGAAGCAAGAACAACCATGTTAGATCAGTGTAGAAATCCAGTGCATGAGGATTGTTAAATAGAAGTAAAAGAGCAGATGAGGAATGTTAAAGATGAGATGAATATTAAGGTACAGTAAGTACGAGAGGAAGCTACGAGACAAATGAACAAGCTGAGAGAGGAATTGGTTATTTTTTCCTACGAGGAGAGGAGTAAAAAGTTAAGATAAGCTGATAAGAGGTGCGAGTGCTAGAAGTATAGTTATTTTATTTTTATGTGTTTCTATTATTCACCATAATTTTATAACAAAAGAGTACTAAACTCTAGTTTCATACTCTCAAGTTTTATTCAAATATGTTTCCTAAAGCTGACAGTAAAACTTCATTTTGAAAATACAATGGTAACATTCCTTATTTAAGCAGCATTGGTCAAATTTTTTTTTTTTAATTTTTTAATTTTTACTGTTCGATTAACATTCTCAAGGGGAAAAAAAAAAAATTCTATGTTCTAAAATGGCAATTTTTTTAACAAGTCCTTACTAATCCCAATAATTTGGAAGAATTTATCATCAAACAGTATAGAAACGGTCCAAAAATTTCGGGATGTTTTCACTTATTCTTGCGATATTTAACATACATCCTCTTACGAGTCCAAAAACAATCTTCTGAATTATAGTCAATAGCAATGTTTTCTACAGCTCTTGAACTATCAATCTAGAATCAAAATAATCAAGTATGTGAAAAACTAATTTCACACAGGCGTTACAACATGTGCTGGGAATTGCACTCAGTGTATAAAAAATAATTTAATCTATCAAGTATCCAGTATCTTAGTCAATACTAGGATACCGTCTTATACTAATAGTTTAAAAATAGCAGTTGTTATTTAGAGTGATGCTAATATAAATTTATGCATAATCCAACTTTCTATGTTTGCCGTTTCACTCCCATTACGCTAATACAATACAGCGTGTCATAAAAATTCTAGGAGGATTTTGCTCATCTCATAGAAGTACAATAGCTTACCACCCAAAATCGGTCAGTTTAACTATTGGACTTTAATTTAAATGGTAAATAAATCCTCTTTGACAATGCTTGGAGAAACGACTATTATTTTCATGAAAAAAAAAAATGTTTTTGTTTGTCGTGAGGATCATGTCTAACGTGCACCGGCGTAACTCTTTTTATTAGTAGAAACTCGGATTTTCGCATGATTGTCTCGTAGAAAATTGTTCGTGGTCATTACTCAATACCACAAACGTTACTATTCCACAGCTGGATTTTATTCCACCACAAAAACCAATCTGCGCCCACTGCAAGGATTACCGAGCAAAATGAAAAGAGACGTCAGAGAAAAAAAAAAAAAAAAAAATGATGAAATGTGAGAGCCAGAGCAGACGAAACCAAAGCCACATGACTCCGCGGAAGATTCACGACGGGCCTTCGTAATAATCTAAAATTGTATTTCGGGGAGACATATTGAGGTGCAAAAAAGGCGAGCAAGCGAACGAGTCCAGCGAGCAATAAAACGAGACTCTACTCCCTCTGTCTCGAGAAGGATGTCTCCCCCCTTTGCATGAAATATTCCGGCGCGAGTATTGAACGTCGGCTGTGACAGCTTTGCGAAAAAGATCCCCGGGCATGGCATATACATCGCAGTTACGGCAGCACAGCAGCCCCCGTCGGAGGAGGATCTTGCCACTGCTGGTTCAGCTTCTACCGTCGCTTCCCTCTTTTCTCATAGGGCGACACGTGTTACCACTGCTGCCGGACACACTGGAGCAACGGCACACACGTTGCGCTCTTTTAGCTGTGTTTTGTGTGTAACTCCCCGTCTCTTTTAGCTCTTGTTATTAATATCATTTTTTTTTAATTATTTGTTTCTTATTTGAAAGAAATACAACATAACGGAGTAGATAACTACAGCTGCACACAGCGATTACTTTTCTCAACTCCATGATGAACAAAAAGCTATAATCATCGGTTTAAAGATAAACAAGATAACTTTGCTTTAGTAAGTTTTTTGTTGGAGAGAAAAAAAAAAAAAAAAAAAGGACTGCAAGATAGCACACAAAACGCACCTACAAGAGACAATCGTGTGAAAAAATCCTTGTTTTGGAGGAAAAAAATAAGCCCGCCGAATAATCAGAAAAGCCAGGGGGTGGAGAGGAGAAGAGTCGGAAGCAAAATAAATGACTATCGCGGCACGCAGTCGAATATAACGGATCCGCACAAGCTCGGGGAAAACGAATCGCAAGTGCATAACCGCGGTTGATTGTTATTTACGGCTGGGCTTCAATAATTTAGAGGTCCGGCAAAAAGAGGGGCAAAAAGCCCTGCATCCACAGTTGCAGATACACGCGTGTACGTCCATACACGAGGCAGGCGAAGGTAAGCGCTTACGCATTAAAAACAGGAAAAGTTCCGATGGACGCTCTGGTGGCTTTTATGATTTCCATAGAGCGATACTCTCGAGCACATAAACTCGGCTCTTGCGAATCTTCTTTTCGCTCTCAAAAAAGCAGCAGTATAGCAAGACGGTGTGTATATACCGTTCTCTCTATTTTTCACGAAAGCGAGCACACAGCGAGCGCTCCTTCTTTTTCGTCCTGCTGCGACCATCTCGCTATACAAGTACGGTGCGCCAAACGGACCACGACCAAAACATCCCTCCTCCTTCGCCGTCCAAAACGCCATAACTTATCCGCGGGGCAACGCGAAAAAGTTGTTTGTCCTCCTGCATCCCTCGCCTCTTTTTTTTCCGGCAAAGTAGGAGGAGGCAAGATTTTGAACTCTTGGCAGCACCGTCTGCGAGCTGAGCCAGCCCTTTTCCACGCGCCGCTTTATTTGCTCGTCTTTTTTTATCCACGCATTCGTTTGTTGTACCACTCGTTCCTGCCCGAAACGACGAAAAGCCGTGTATATATATATAGAGGAGTAAAAAGTTAAGATAAGCTGATAAGAGGTGCGAGTGCTAGAAGTATAGTTATTTTATTTTTATGTGTTTCTATTATTCACCATAATTTTATAACAAAAGAGTACTAAACTCTAGTTTCATACTCTCAAGTTTTATTCAAATATGTTTCCTAAAGCTGACAGTAAAACTTCATTTTGAAAATACAATGGTAACATTCCTTATTTAAGCAGCATTGGTCAAATTTTTTTTTTTTAATTTTTTAATTTTTACTGTTCGATTAACATTCTCAAGGGGAAAAAAAAAAAATTCTATGTTCTAAAATGGCAATTTTTTTAACAAGTCCTT